TATATTTATATATACTAGACGTCGCGATTATTTTTTAAATAAAATATATCTTTAAGAAAATCATGCTACAAATCTATTGGCACATGCATCTTTGACTCATCCGCATGAATTTACATTAGTCATGCTACGTAATAAAAGAAAGCATGAAGAAATAGCTGCTTCAATTGGTTTATAAAAAAAAGCGTCTTTATATTTTGTCGGTCTATAAGTCCAATAAGCGGTAGGAAGATTAATTATGCAACAAAAATTGCTTTAAGTAACCTATCTAATTTTTAAGAATACCATTAATAGGAATACCGAAATAATACCGGTATTTTATTACGGTTTTCGGTAATGTATCGGTTTCGGTACTATAACGGTAACGGTAAGACTCAATTTCGATACTATATCGGTTTCGGTATACAATCTCTAATATAATACCGGTATTGAAATCATACCGGTATTAAGTCCCTGCTCCTGGCAAAGGATTATGCCGGAGCCCTCCCACCATCCAGGCGACAATGGCCGCCATTCCCTCCAGCAGAGCCGAAGGCTCTTCATCCACGGCGAGATGGAGGGTCACACTCCACTTTGCCGGGTATAGCGGGCCACGTGCAATAGAGAGTACGGGTCCCCGCCCGCACTCCCTGTGTGGCCCGGCGTCAAACTTCCTTGAGAAGGCCTCACAAAAGGGAGAGTTGTGGTGGTCCGAATTAACGAGCCAGCCTCGCCACGACAATTTGGAGGACTCCACTTCACTCTCTTTTAGAACCAGCCTCTCAGAAGGAGTGGAGGAGCTTCCTCTACTGACGGAGAGAAGTAGTTACTTCTTCCTTCCGAGCATCCTCCTTTCTTTTCCATAAATTCCAGCATTCCGTCAGCCCAGTGATTGCCGGAAATGACGGAAGCCGAGTCGTCCGGGAAGGAGGACTATTCTTCCACGGGACTTGTGTCACGTTCGTCCGTAATCTCCTTCTACTCTATCACCACGAAGCAGAAGGAGATTACGGAACCTTATTTGTCTTTGTCTCTAGAGACCAACGCCCTCATCAGGCCCTCCAGGGACAGGTTCGTTCCTATTTTGGCGACCAGCTCCTGGCAATCGTTGGCCCACTCGTGGACAATACTCTACAATGTGCCGCGCCGAGTCGCTGGCCGCCCCACACCTGTGGCACTGTGCCGTCGGCTCTTTATCTATTCGACACAAGTATTCACCGAAGCAACCGTGCCCGGTAAACCCCTGCGTCACTCTGTAGGTGAGGCACCCGACCCCTTGTTCTAACTACACCTCAAGGTAGGGTCGGACGACCTGAACGACTGCCTGGACGGCCGCACGCGGAACGTCCAAAAGTTGATCCCACTCGCCAGGCCTGACGCTTTAAGTTGGCGAGAGCCTTCCGAAGAGCATCTCCTTCGAGGCCCTTCTGCAACTGCTCGACTCGGCAAGATTATCTTGCCGAGTACATTCGAGCCAGGAGGACCAATGGAGGTATTCCCGCCAACACGCCCGCCATCTCTGTGGCTACAGTGCAAAAGCCGCGTATCACGCGGAAAGACACTACTCGTTGGGCCGCGCGAAGCAAACCGAACTTGCTCCGCGCGCCCGCCTTTGCCGCGACTTTCACCCACAACGGTGACCCATACAGAGCCACCGCGTGCACCACATTCGCGAAGAGACGACGGACCTTCTCCCGCGGACCACCAAGGTTCGAAAGTAGGCGTGCCAAAGAGTTGGCAACTTTCCGAACTTTAGGGGCCAGCCGAGCAAAGTGCTCCTCGAAGCGCCATCTTAGTTTGAGGTAGAGACCTAGGTACTTGAAACGGGTGATACTCTATTGACCACAGTACGATTCGACACCGCTCGATTCGACACAGATTTATTCGACACCAAATTA